CCCTTTACTGATATTACTTTTGAGAAAGATTTAGGTAAATTGATGGGGGAGGGCCCTTCTTCCTCTCGAAATGCTCTCACACGGCCACGCGTATATAGCCTCTGCCTGGGAAGTCCTTTTATTATTTTATTTTATTTTAACACATAAATATCGGTACAAGAAGGCACCAAATACATATGCGCCACACAGATCTCATTTGATATGTGTGAGGGCTGTGATACTGCCCGGGTGCCCAAACCAAGCAGGTGGTTTTCTTAGGGGGCCACACCCCGACCCTTCGACCTGAAGATCTGATCCACAAGGCAGTGGAGCATCGTGAGGAGATGCAGTCCCATGGAAGCCGGTGACCAACGATTGGTTCATACGCCATTTGTTCCCGCAGGATACTGGAGCCCATGTGCACCATTGGTTTGGGATCCGGTTATAGCGCCGGACATTCGCTTTTCGTCCTCTCATTTTCGTAAACAACAGTAGTGCCACGAGAAGGCAGTGAGTAGGACTTCCCTGGCAGGGGCTGTATACGCGTGGCCATATGAGAGCATTTCGAGAGGGGGAGCGGACTCCCCCCACTCTCGGCCGTACCAGGGCATTTGGGGGGATGTTTACGAAATTGAAAGGACGAAAAGTGGGTGTCCGGCGCTTTAACCGGGTCGGTGGACACGGTTAGTCCACCTAGGGGAGTGGGGAAACCCTGATTCCAATCCAGTGGTGCACATAGGTTCCAGTATCCACTTTGCCAACAATTGTAGTGTCTCTTGACATCAGGACTGCCTTCGATTCGTTAGACAGGACTGTCTATTGAAGAAGGGAGTGCCTGAGAAGTCCATTAACATCCTAAAAGCCCTATATACAAATACCTCAGACAGAGTTAGGGCATACAACCACCTTTCTTCATTGTTCCATTCAGGCAGTGGGGTTAGGCAGGGTTGCCCAATCTCACCATTCCTCTTCAACTTTGCCATCGATGACATTCTGGAAACAGCTCTGACGGATGTAAGTAATGGTGGTGTGGATCTGTTGCTTGGAGAAAGAATTCTCGACCTTGAGTATGTGTATGATATTGTGTTACTGTGCGAGAATGTTAAAGCCATGCAATCCGCACTTAATCAGTTGGCAATCAATTTCCGTAGGTATGGCATGTGCTTTGCACCTTCGAAGTGCAAAGTATTTCTACAAGACTGGCAGGATTCTAATCCTGTACTCACTGTGGATGGTGAGCAGACAGAAGTAGTCGAGAAGTTCGTGTATCTAGGTAGCTGCATAAGTGCTGGTGGTGGCGTGAGTGATGAGATTAATGCACGTATAGTGAAAGCCAGAGCGGCTTATGCCAATCTGGGCCATCTTTGGCACCTTCGTGATGTTAATCTGTCTGTAAAAGGTCGGATCTACAACGCGACGGTGAGAGCAGTTCTGCTCTATGCTTGTGAAACCTGGCCTCTCCGAGTTGAGGATGTTAGACGACTCTCTGTGTTTGATCATCGTTGTCTCCGAAGGATTGCTGGCATCCAGTGGCAACACTATGTCAGTAATGCAGAGGTCCGGCATCGTGTGTTCGGTCACAGAGACGATAATTCCATTGGTGTCACCATCTTGAAACACCGACTTCGGTGGCTTGGACATGTTCTACGAATGTCGTCCCAGAGAATTCCTCGTCGTGCATTATTTGCCGACTCTGGAACTGGTTGGAAAAAGCGGAGCGGTGGTCAGCGTATGACATGGTGTCGTTGTGTGGAAGAAAGTTGCAAAGGGTTGGCTTGTGTTGGTCTTTCACGGCTCCCTGGCTGGGGTCCTAGAGATGTTGTAACATAGTGGCTAGAGACGTTATCAGATATTACTCAGAATAGAAGCCAGTGGTGATCCTGCTGTAACCTTTTTTTACTTTCTTTATAAAAATGGTTGTAACTTCCTTAACTGAAAGAATTTTTCTGGTTGTACCTTTGCGTTTCAGTTTCAGCTCCTCTCTTCGTACTTCGGCATTTTCGATCACTCCAAAAAAACAGCTGGCTACAGGTGAATATGTTGTTCGATAGTTCTGCAGGGCTGTACAAAGTAATTTCGTCGTTGTCAGTTAGCACTGGGAGATACATGTTTTCAAGTGCCGGTCCAGTAGAATCGCGACTAAACCTGGTTTTATCTCAGAAGTTTAATGTAAATTGTTCAACTTTCCCTCACTCTTCAGGCGAGCTTCTTGAGAATATATAACGAAAGTCACCGTCATAACCATAAAATAGGCATATAAGTTCTCATAAAACTCAGACTTTTTGTCAATGCTTGTAGGTGGAGAAACGCATTTTAGGGTTGTAATCGTGTCACATCATTTTAATAATCTTTCTCCTGTACAGGTATGATTTATTCGATCAGTATGTATCAGTATAGAGAGAACGCTTAGTGTATAAGTCAGTTGAACATGAGCTGAAGTCTGGTGTGCATGCTTTATCAGTCATAGTAAGTTGTTCATTTCCGTTACCTATTTCACATAAGGCTAGAACAGTTGATGAACCTTTGGATATACACACGTCTCCACCCTGCCAGAAGTCTTTGTTATAAGGTATTTGCAAAGGTAAGTAGGTCCTCATTCTAGATATATGCCAATCAGAACACATACTTATGCCAACACTACTTATTTAGGGCTACAGAAATCCTTTTATTAAATAATTGTTAATATGAGTTTTGGGAGAAGCTATCGGCTAAATTTAAGGTATATATCTAAATAAGTTATGTGTTTTCTCCAGTAGACTTCTACTTTTCAAATTTACTCTAACAGTTACGTTAGATAAATAGAGATGAGGTGTTCACAATAAAAATTTCGAAATCATCTTGCCTATCTATTTTTTAATTTTTATTTCCGTTTTTTAGTGCTTAATAAGAATATCTGTGCTGATTCTATGAAATATTATCTAAGCTTACGGGAGAATCAACTAGTCAATGTACATGTTATCGTATATTTTTAAATACAGACGATTTCTGTCTTGTCAGCAATGATATGTTGTTGTTTATTACGGTTTTTGATTTGTATTCGGAAACAAGTATATATTAGGTAACTTGTTTGACCCTTTCTTGTAATGCGTAAGACTTAGACTAGTTGTCTGCAACATCAATTACATTTTTGTTGACATGTGTTTATTGACGCATGATAAGTGTTTCGTCGCACAATTTAATATTCAAGAATATCCACCAAGCGGCAGTTTGTAACGAATAGGTACTTGAGGGATTTTCGGTGGAGGAAGGGTAGTTATTCAGTTACCCCCAAATGCCCTGGTACGGCCGAGAGTGGGGGGAGTCCGCTCCCCCTCACGAAATGCTCTCATATGGCCACGCGTATACAGCCCCTGCCAGGGAAGTCCTACTCACTGCCTTCTCGTGGCGGGGGTGTTGTTTACAAAAATGAGAGGACGAAAAGCGAATGTCCGGCGCTATAACCGGATCCCAAACCAATGGTGCACATGGGCTCCAGTATCCTGCGGGAACAAATGGCGTATGAACCAACTTTTGGTCACCGGCTTCCATGGGACTGCATCTCCTCACGATGCTCCACTGCCTTGTGGATCAGATCTTCAGGTCGAAGGGTCGGGGTGTGGCCCCCTAAGAAAACCACCTGCTTCGGTTTGGGCACCCGGGCAGTATCACAGCCCTCACACAAATCAATTGAGATTTGTGTGGCGCATATGTATTTGGTGCCTCCCTGTACCTATACTTATGTGTTAAAATAAAATAATAATAAATAATTCGGTTTGGGCACCCGGGCAGTATCACAGCCCTCACACATCAATTGAGATCTGTGTGGCGCATATGTATTTGGTGCCTACTTGTACCGATATTTATGTGTTAAAATAAATAAAGTGGATATTACAGGCTTCACGGATAAATGACCCCTAGAAGACCTTTGAGTAATCTTCCTCTAGTAGTTAACTTTGTAGAAAATTTATTTATTTATTTAAACACGTAAACAGCGGTACAAGGAGGCACCACATACATCATTCGATTTATATGAGGGCTGGGTTACTGCCCGGGTGCCCAAACCGAAGCAGGCTGTTTTCTTAGGTGGCCACGCCCGAAGCCTTGAATCTAAAGGTCTGATTCACAAGGCAGTGGATCAACGTAAGGAGATGCAGTCCCTTGGTAGCCGGTGACCGACGATTAGTTCACACGCCATTTGTTCCCTCAGGATCCTGGAGCCCATGTGCACCATTGGTTTGGAATCAGGGTTTTCAAACTCCCCTTGGTGGGCCGTCAGTGTCCATCAATCCAGTTAAGGGGATGGCACATTCGCTTTTCGTCCTCTTAGTTCTGAAAATAACACCCTGATGAGAGAATGCAGTGAGTAGGACTTCCCTGGCAGTGGTTGTATGCACGTGGGAGCATTTCGAGAGGGAAAGGGGCTTTGTGGAAAAGGTAACATAAATGATGAGCAAACCGCGCATAAGTACTGTTGGGACTATCTTATTATTATTTGTTGTATGTGTAGTTTATTTGAAAACGAATGAAAATCTTATTGACTTTAAAATTAAAACCCATTTCATTCACTATTGATGTCATAAACGTTGTCGGTTTATTCAGATAAAATAAGTCTTGGATTGTTATTCATCTGAAGTGTCCTTTCCAACGCTATTTACGTGTGATACTAAGAAGCAACTATTAAATGAGGGATTAAGTTCTAAAGTTTGAGGGACGTAAATCTAACCTTAGGTAATCTTTTCGGTCAAATTTTCCAGTATAAACTTTATAATTTGTGAAAATTAATTCTCGTAGTGAACACTTGTCTGGGCCTATAAATTTTAGGGTAAAAATCTGGTTAGATCACCATAGCCTTTGTTATTTTGTTTAGTTTTGAGTGAAATGTCCATTGCGTTTAGTTAGTTCAGCTATAATCACGAGCTAGGGGTAATATCTCGAAGAGACATTCTTCCTAGAGTCCTATGTTAACTATGACAGTCTATTGGTCAAAGAAGAAATTTTATTACTGCTTATCTATGTTCATTGTTTGGTGAGATCACTTTTTTCCATGCTAGTAATTCAGTATAGTACACAAACGGTCTCGGAAGTCGGGTTAATTGTTTGTGAAGTTTTTACTTTTAGTTGCAGGTGCTACTCTTGTTGCAAACAATTGTTTATTTTACAATTATGCTTTTATAATTGTGTACATATATGAACCAATAATAATGACGCACTAGTAATTATGTTTTATCATCGCCAATATTGTCGAAGACTTTGAAAAAGATTCCTGCATATTTCTTAGTTCTTCTGCTTCATCTGTAGATATAAACAAAATAGGCAAAATAACTATGGTTTCATGGGTCAGCGAATTTTAAGTAAATTAAGTGACTAGTAAAGTTATATATCTTTATCTATATGATAAAGGTTTTTCATTCCGAATAAAAGTTTGGTAAGACATGATTGCTGAAGCATAAAATCTATCTAATTATTCAAAGTAATTTCAAAATCTTTGGGCTTGTTAAGTCGACAAAACCCATTGGTGTTTTCCACCTTTTTAATTGAACAAATACATAAATCGCAACACTTAATTGTTTTTCCAACATCAACTGTTCGTGTTTTGGAACAACAGACCTATTACTTTGTAGTTTCTTGTCATGTTGTTGTATAAAATCGGTTATTTGCTGCAAAGTGTTGGTGAAAAAGCAATACATCACTGCAGCTCATATTGTAGGTATTGATTAAGATATTAGGATGTTCTCGCAAAACATGCCGTTTTTGGATTACTGTGAATATGTGCCTGCTCTCTGTAATCGTTTTTAATAATAATATTAAAACACATCTTTATTTTAAAACCATTGTATGTCAATACAAAACTCAGTTAAACATATTTGTGTATTTTATTGGTGATAAGCTATTAGGAGCACGGTTTTAATTGTCTAAAGAAGATTTTTTATTGATTACTGCCTCGATTATTTGATTTGTCACATTCATCAGCATATTACATGAGTCATTACCGTACATGCACAAACTTATTTTGATCTTAATTACCGTCTGTATATTAGGACGGTCTAACAAAGCTATATTGACTGGAAAACTTGTCTCTTAAGTTTCTGGCATACTCAACCGGTTCAGTCAAAATCAAGTTACGGACTAAAGGACGAGGTTGTATTCCTTACTGTGTCAGAGTGTGGGAGCAACAACATATTTCCTACGGGTAATCAAAATCCGATGGTGATGTTTTGTGCAGGCCGGAGGAGAGGGTTAAAATTGATCCGTCTTAAAAACACCTTCCCCATGGACTTCCAATACCAGCTATGAGATTTATAAAGAACGCAGCTGTAGTATAAAATCAATCCATGTAGGTGGGTTAAAGCCAGTCAGTCAGCTACAACGTAGTATCAGGCACATATATGCATCTGTCCAAGTTGCCACACCTCATAAGCACAACAAGATGAACACTATATTCATAGTGGTTACTTCAATGGTAGTAATATATGAAGGGAATATCGCATAACGATATGATATGGGAAGAAATTAGTTCATAGAAAGAAAAGTATATTTATACATCTACGCCATTGTGGTCGATTTTGAGCCATGTCACCTAGAGTCTCCAACCGTTGGTTATGATTGCCACGTGAACCCCAACCAAGTAGTCTGCATCTACAGGGGTTAAGTGAAGTAGGAGTTTCATAATTTCGGCACAGCATAGCATCGATACGATGGGAAGTATGTACATTACAAGATAGTCTATTTGATCTGTAGTCAACTATACAAACCAGTGAAGTTTGTGGAGAAACTAAACCAAAAGGTTAGGGAAATGAAGTGGGTTTCGTTGAACTCTAAAGAATCGAATGTTTGGAAACTTAAGTCTCGAAACACGAGAAGTAAGGGCGAATTTCATCAGACTGCTCGTGTTCACTAATAGTCCTAGTTTGTAAGAGAGAAAATAAATCATACTATCAGCGTGTCCAATATAGTTTTGAAAATGTGTGTCTTTCCAACAACTCAACGCCTATTTATTTATTTATTTGGACATACAAATAGGCACCAAAATAAGTGTGCGTCACACAAATGGAAATTGTGAAGCGACAGATAAAAGTAAGTGAATGTAAAATAAGAAACGATTAGTGAGTAAAAATGGGTAGACAAGAATAGTATATAACGTGAGGAACATTTCATTTAAAAGAATTGTACCAAAGAATCCACTCAGTTAAAAACCTTGCGTTTTCATGAAGAAAGTTAAAGAAAATTACAGCAGGACTGCCAATAGCTAATATTGTGGGCTATGTCTTCTGGTGTTTCAAACCACTGTGTTACATTATCTCTAGGACCCTAACCAGAGTCGTGAAGGTCCGACATACTGGTGATTTACAGCTTTCTTCCATAGCACAGCACTGTGTCAAGAACTGATCATGGCTTTCTCCAACCAGTGCGAGCGTCGAGGAATGATGGACGATGTGGAATTCCCCGGGATAGCGTTCTTAATACGTGTCTAAGCCACTAAGGCTGGTGTTTCGAGAGGGTGATATCGTCACTATCCGAAAACGCGTTGCCGAACCTATGCATTACCAACGAGGTGTTGCTCCTAAATGTTTGTGATTCTTCGGAGCTAGGGACTATCAAACACAGAGTCGTTTATATCCTTAATTTGACTCACGCCTGTTACTCCTAATGGAGCACAGGCCGCCGACCAGCATTCTCTAACCCATTCTGCCCTGGGCCTTCTTTTCTAGTTCCATCCAATTCTTCTTCATTTTTCTCATGTCTATCTTCAATTCGCGGCGTAGTATGTTCTTTGGCCTTGAGGACTTCATGTGAGGGCTTGTCTAGCGACGTAGTTCTGTGCATTCCTCAATGTGCGTCCTGTCCACTTCCGGCGCATCTTCCTCCACTAGGATCTGGTTTGTTCTCTCCCACAGTAGGTTGTTGCTTATAGTGTCTGGCCAACGGGTCCGAAGTATTTTGCGTAGACAACCGTTAATAAACACCTGCATCTTCTGGATGATGGATTTCGTAGATCTCCAGGTTTCCGCGCCATACAGTAGAACTGTCTTGACATTTGTATTGAAAATTCTGACCTTGGTGTTGGTTGACAGTTGTTTTGAGTTCCAGATGTACTTCAGTTGTAAATATGTTGCTCTTACTTTGCCGATCCGCGCCTTCACATCTGCATCAGATTCACCATGTTCATTGATGATACTGCCCAAATTTGTAAAGGTTTTTACATCTTCCAAAGCTTCTCCGTCAATTGTGATTGGATTGGTGATTGCTGTGTTGTATCGGAGAATCTTGCTTTTTCCTTTGTGTATATTGAGACCTATTGCTGCTGAGGCTGCAGCTACACTGGTTGTCTTTTCCTGCATTTGTTGTTGCGTATGCGATAGAAGAGCCAGATCATCTGCGAAGTCTAGATCATCCAATTGCATCCTAGCTATCCACTGTATCCCGTGCTTCCCTTCAGATGTTGATGTCTTCATGATCCAGTCGATCACCAGGAGAAAGAGAAAGGGTGAGAGTAAGCAACCTTGCCTGACACCGGTCTTTACTTCGAACGACTTTGTCAACTGTCCTCCATGCACGATTTTGCAGTTTAATCCATCATAGGAATTCTGTATGATATTGACTATCTTCTGAGGCACGCCGTAGTGTCGAAGAAGCTTCCATAGGGTTGTTCTGTCCACGCTATCAAATGCTTTTTCGTAGTCGATGAAGTTGATATAGAGTGATGAATTCCATTCGATTGATTGTTCCACAATGATCCGTAGAGTTGCGATTTGGTCTGTGCACGATCTATCCTTACGGAATCTTGCCTGTTGGTCTCGAAGTTGTGCGTCTACGGTGTCCTTCATCCTGTTTAACAATACCCTGTTGAAGACTTTTCCTGGTATTGAAAGAAGAGTGATTCCCCTGTAGTTGTCACAGTTGCTGAGATCGCCTTTCTTTGGTATTTTGACTAGAAGTCCTTCTTTCCAGTCTTTTGGTACCTGTTCCTCATCCCAGATCTTTTTGAAGAGAGTTTGGAGTATCCTTGCAGTTGCCGCTACGTCTGCTTTCAGTGCCTCTGCTGGAATGTTGTCTGGTCCTGCTGCTTTGCCACTCTTGATTTGCCTGATGGCCATGTTGATCTCTCCAATGGTGGGTGGGCCAACATCGATTGGGAGGTCCGTGAGTGCTGCTTCGATGTTGGGTGGGTTTAGTGGGGCTGGTCGATTCAAGAGTTCTTTGAAGTGTTCTACCCACCTGTTCGGTTGTTCTTCAATGTTGGTGATTATTTTGCCTTCCTTGCTTTTCACTAGTCGTGCTGGTTTACTGTGATTTCCAGAGAGTTTCTTTGTTGTTTCATACAGTTGTCTCATGTTTCCTTCTCTTGAAGCCTTTTCTGCCATCATTGCTAAATCTTCCACATATTTACGTTTGTCAGTTCTGATGCTCCTCTTCACTTGCTTGTTTACTTCTGTGTATTCAGCTTGTGCGTTGGCTTTTTCTCCTCTTGTTCGGCTAGTATTGATTGCTGTCTTCATGTTCCTCCTTTCTCGAACCATATCCACTGTATCAATAATGATCCATTTCTTGTGGTTGTGCTACTTGTGGCACAGAACCTCATGACATGTTAAAGTTATTGCCTCCTTTATCCCTTTCCAGTTGTTCTCCATAGTAGTTCCCTCTCCATCGAGTAGATCGTGAAAGGCTTGGAACTTATTGCTGAGGACTATCTTGAATTCGTTGAGCTTGTCATTATTCTGAAGAGCCGTATCAAGCTTTTGTGATGTTGTCCACACCGTTTTCCAGTGCTTCTTGAGTTTCAATTTCGTCTTGGCGACCAGCAAGTGATGATCTGAGGCTATATCAGCTCCTCTCTTGGTTCTCACGTTCTCCATCATCATTCTGAACGTTTTATTGGTGCAGATATGGTCGATTTGGTTTTGCGTAGTGTGACCCGGTGAAGTTCATGTGGTATTGTGTATGCGTTTCTGTGGAAATATAGTTCCGCCTATGACCGGTTTATTGAAGGTACATAGGTTTGCAAATCTCTCACCACTTTCGTTCCTATCTCCTAGTCCGTGTCGTCCCATGATGTCTTCATATCCGGTGTCAGTCAGTCAGTCAGCTGCAACGTAGGACCAGGTACATATATGCATCAGTCCAAGTTGCCATACCGCATTAGCACAACAAGATGAACACCGGATTCATAGAAGTAGTTAATTTAGTGGTGGTAATATATAGAAGAAAGAATTAGTTCGTAGAAAGAAAGATTTGAAGTGATTTTAATCTCTTAGTTTAAAGAAAGACAGAGTATATACCTACGACATTGTGATCGATTCTGAGCCATGTCACCAAGAGTCTCCAACCATTGGTTACGATAGTCACGCGAACCCCAACCAAGTAGTCTGCATCTACCAACATGGCTCAGACCAGAAGTTAGTGTCTTCAAGCACTGATGACACGTTTTGGTTTGGCCGCCCCTAGCTTTTTTCCAATTATCCCTAACACCGGTTACCATTGCGCGTCGTGGTAATCTGTGTTCAGGCATACGCAACACGTGGCCCAACCATCTCAGTCGATGAAGGTTCACAACCTCATAGACTGATTTACCATCATTCCCTGATACCCTGCGTCTAACCTCACTACTACTTACCCGGTGATCCCAGCAGATACCCGCAATATTTCTAAGGCATCTGTGGTCAAATACTAGTAGCTTACGAGTATCTTCTACTCTTAATGGCCATGTTTCGCAGCCGCATAGTAGAATGGAACGAACTGCTGCGCAGTATACTCGTCCCTTAATTGATAGACGGATATCTCGCCTTTGCCATAGGTGACGTAAGTTGGCGAAAGCTAAACGGGCTCTTCGAATCTGTGCTGAGATTACGTCAGATACCAACCCATTAGGGCTGATCCTACTTTCAAGATAAGTGAAGTTGTCAACGCGTTCGACTACTTCACCCCCTATTCTTAGTTCGGGTGTTGACGCAGGCCAGTTCTGGAGCAACAACTTGCATTTAGAGGGAGAGAAGAGCATCCCAAACATTCTGGCATTGTTGCTCAGTGCTAACCAAAAGACTGCATTTTATCAGCGTCTTCACCAAACAGGACTGTCATCTGCGTATTCATAGTCCATAAATGGACCTCCTGGTAGGAGATCAATGCCGATGAGAGCGTTATTTCCATCAGTAGATCTATTATGAAGTTAAAAATGGAGAAAGTGGACAGCCTTGACGGACACCGCTTGAGGTTGCAAAAGAAGATGACAGTTCGCCATAAGCTCTCACTCGACCAGATACACGGGGGTGTATCTCGTTGGCTCTCCGTTTTGCCGAGGTGAGGTCAAGTGAATAACCACACTAGGATCCTGTATGCGTGTTTCGGAGACACAGCATACATGCAGTGGTCTTGAGTGCTGTTAGAGGTATCAGGCGTTTATCGCTTCCCGGTTGCCCACACCGTGGAAGGGTTCTGCTGGAGGTACCTGAAAAGAAATTTAGATTAGAGGTGATCTTAGTGACCTGAGAGCGTGACCGCAGAGCCCAAGGGACAACTGCTTGAGGTCGGTCACACACGACCTTTTTATGAGTAGTTTTTGTGTTAGCTCCATACTTGTTGATACCTTACCGACGGAGACGGATATCCGTGGGATAAGGCGAGGTGTGCATTTTTAGAGTCGACCTTTTTCTAACCCCACCCCTCTTTGTGGGAAGGCAGCATCGCTGTCATGCTGGTTGTCTGAAGGAAACACCTTACTGCTGTCACACCTCTGTACAGTCAGCAGTACGGCTTCGCCTTCGGACCTTGGATTTGTTGCTCTTCAACCGACCTGTCTGGCATGGTAGGACTTTAAGGAACGGTTGTTCCAGCCAGTATAGCTCAGTTGCTTCATTACGATAGGCAAGCCCGACCACCACGTCAAGGTAGCAACAACGGTCGGGTCATATCCGGTGTTGTCGATTCCAACCTTGGCATTTAAATCTCCCATCAGAATGGTCAGGTCCTTTGTTGGGCACTTCTCGACGATTGACTGCAGCCTATTGTAGAATTGATCTTTAGCGTCTTCATTGTAGTCGTTGGTAGGCGCATAGCATTGGATGACGTCCATTGAAATGCTCTTTTTCTTTGTTTTGAAGGAGGCTTTGATGATCTTTGGTCCATGAGACTCCCATCCTATAAGTGCATTTCGTGCTTGTTTGGACAGCATCAATGCAACTCATTGTGTATGTGGGGCATTTTCTTGTTCATGTCCGGAGTATAACAGCAGCTCCTCTGAAGCTAGTCGTAGTTGTCCAACTTGCGTCCAATGTGCTTCCTAAGCACCCCTAGGTTGTATCTCTTTATTTCTGCAGCAATTTGGAAGACTCTCCCAGTTTCCCACATTGTGCAAGCATTCCATGTACCTAAATAAATGGTTGCTCTGTTTGTCAAAAGAGGCATCGGTCTCGTGACTTCCGAAGGAACTCGGCTTCCATCATGAGGCGCCATAACTCTTCTAAAGGAAGACCTTCTGACTCCCGGGGCAGAGTTTAAATGGTTTGAATAATTTTTTCTGGTTAACGTTTTTCAGCGAGTTAGTTTTCTACGGGATGGGGTCGTTAACCCCATGCCCAACCCTCCTCCTTTATCCGGGCTTGGGACCGGTATTAGTCCTCGGAGGGACTCCAGGCGAAGTTTCCATAATTCGAAGAGGTCAGGTATCTTGAACATGAAGCATTGTATCTATATCTTAAAGTAAATAAACCATCTTTAAGAAGAGCTGGGGTAATTCGTTTGGGCATGTCGACTTGTGGATCATCAGAAGTTGGAGTTCCGTACGGACCTTTTCTTTAGATGGATCAGTCTTCATTGGACTGGGGAAAGAAGGCAGTCTGAGTGATCTTTGTGGGTTAGTGGACCAGTTGAAATGTCCCTCGAAGACTTCTGTTCGTACTGCAAGACGTCGTTAGACGTTATTGACTGGCGGCCCATCAACTTCATAGATTGCCTCACATCAGGCTTCTTGGTGTCAGTGGTTCGGATGTGTTCTAATAGCTTCCGGTGGTTACCAGATTAAGATGCTGCTCCTAACTTATTAGAATGCTCTGACCACCAGGTTTCTCGATCTTTGCGCGAACTGTACAATTTCATTAAGTAGGAATCTACGTTTCGTCGAACTCGCGATTATCTGGTGTAGACCTATGTGGTCCAAGGAAACGTAAGGAGCCTGTGGAAACCCATCGCTTATAAGTGGGATGTTACACAAAGCCGAAAGCGACTTTAGCTGTTTTCATGGTGTTATACAAATGAACTCTGGTCACTTACACTTTTTGGTGGGTTGTTAGCTGCTAGCCTTGAATCCTGCCTGCTTTGATATCTAGTTTCAACGAAATCTGGAGCCAAATTGTTGATATCGATCATTTTAAGACGGTGAGTTTGTTGGCCACTAAAACGTTGGTTAAGAGTGGCATAAACTGGTGGATAATCAGTCCAGAGAAGTGCTCCAGAAGGAGCGAAAATTCTACAAACAACCACACCAGGGTAGATGGTCGTAAAGTGGTCAATCTGAGTCGAAGCTTGATTTTTCGAAGAATGCTACCAGATAGCACATTGGCAATGGCTGTGCTGAAATGTGGTCTTTGCCGGAAATGGACTGTGCTCTGCACAAAGCTGTAGGAAATGGACATCTTTATCTGATGTGTGATCAACAATTCCGCATCAGCCACTCCGACTACTCTCCTCTGTTCCCAGACAACCGATTTTGATATTCAGATATGCGGCTAGCACTGCGCCACCTATAAAACACCCTTTCTTGAGGACATCATTTAGTCATTGGTAGAACGCATATTTGATTGCACTCCAGTTGCAGTGTGTTAGGGGGTAAACGGCGATTACGAAAAAACATCGTTTCCCACGTCAGTTTTTATTTACTTAGATGGAGCTTTATGATCTGACAGGACATGTAAACGACGGTCAGTGGGGGCTTAACTGCTTAGTATTGCTTCTACCCTGGAGATCAACGAGATACTAATGCCAGCAAACCGGACGATGCCAGAGGTTTCATGTGTAAATCCACATGATACAGGTATTTCAATTGGTGGAGAGTGAATGTGCAATGCGGTGTTAGAGTCTTGAATACGGAGCTCCAATAGATAACAGACATTAACCTTGAGACTTTCTAAAGACAGCCAAACATATCTCTTGTTCTATTTCCAAGTTGGAAAAAAAGAAACGGATAGGTGGTTTGATAAAATAAAAACACTTGAAATAAGTGGGTAGTAATTATGTTCCATGTTAGTAGTCAAACAGAGTAAGTGAATCAGTTTCTTCATAACAATTCGTTGTTATGTTTGTGAGAAGACCAAGATACTACTTGAACATCCAGACAGAACCAGGTCACTTTCATAGGGAGCCAATCCACGATCCTTCGACCTTGAGGTTCAATCCACAAGGCAGTGGAGAAGTATTAGGAAATGCAACCTCATGATAGCCAGTTACCAAGAGTGGGTTAATAAGCTGTTCAATCCCTGAAGATCCTACAGCCTCAACTAAATTTAAGGAACACGGAACCTATGAAAATCAGGTTGCTTTTAGGCCAGACACTGTATACTTAAACCAACTTTCCTCTGAAAAGTAAAACACACTCATATTAGTTTGCATTTATAAATGAGCTTGTGCTTCAACTTACGACTTTGGTTCCACCTAAGAGAACTATCCTCATCGGGCCATCCAGTAATAATTAAATAGTCAATTTCTTTTAGTCCTCGAGGTACTTCAATGTAGGAAGTTGAACTAATAAATGGTACTCCTCCAAATTTTGAAACTGACTCTTCAAATTTAAGCAAATATTGGTTCTTAAAGTTTTCTTCATTAATTGAGTTAAATAAACTCAATTGCAAATAATTCCATGCTGTAAAAATATGTGAAAGTAGTATTTTTAATTTTCGTAGTAATTTAAATGTCTATATATGTCTGTGTAATGTCATTCTGTGGTATCTTTTAAGGCATCTACAGAAATTCAAGAATATTGAAGGATTTTTATTATCTTGCCTTTGTATTTCAGTGAAATCGGTCTAACCTACCTCAAATGTATGTCAACAATGAATTACATCTTAACATTATAAATACTTTAAATTATGCTGTTTTTCGGTTTATGTATTTGAGATATATAATATTTGCCTTCTGAAATAGATGTATTTTATAATTTGATTATTTGTTTTGGACTTTCATTTCAAGACTTTGATAATACAATGTAACTTATTTATATCCTTGCTTTCAACTGTCACCTAAACAGTTCTACATATTTTCTGGTTTTGGAGATTTTTCGGACAATAATCCATCTGTACTTTGTATCACTCTTATGAACGATACAACTTTGAATCCAACTTGTATTTGGCTAAGCCGTAACGTCTATTCCAGATTTCAGTTTATGTACTCTTAATAAAGACTGCTTTTTCGGTGTCCAAACACGAAAGAGATTTGTAGGTTAATTAAATCAGCTTAGTATACTTACGTCTAATTTCCGTACACAAAGGTACAATCCATATTTCTGCATCATCCAACCAGTCGTGCTGACGAAATATTGGATCACTGATAAGCCACCTCTGAGCCGCCACAGCGGAATCGAAATGTAGAAAGCCAATTGTTGTATTGCGTTTCCAGTCACCGTCTAAACAAACAACCTAAAAGTAGTGTTTATTTGAAGGTAATTCATAGTTTTAAGTAGTGATACTTCTGTTTACCTAAATGATTGTTTTTTTTTACAATATTTAGCCTTTTTATATAAGTATGTAAGCCAAATTTAGTAGAAGTAGTTGAAACACAATTGCGTATGTAGGTTTAAAGCCAAAGGTTGCATACACCAAATAGTATGTGCGAGAAGGTACATATTACTTTCAACTCGCTTTGCAATAGCACCCTAAGAGTGTCCGTTGAAGTAAAAGAAATTCAAAGGGGAAACGTCCAACATTTATTCGGTGAAACTCTATTTTATGGACGACCTTTGAACGTACGTTTAAGTGATCTTGAGAACATTAGCCAATCAGAAGAGAGTTGGTATAAAGTAAAAATATATTATGAAAAACTGATGAATTACAATGGATATTCTTCTTTCACATGATTTAAGAACTTGTTAAGGTTTGATAAAGGTTCAGAAGTTCTGAAATCACAATGCATGCGGTATAGGAACTCGTCCATATGGCTCCATAATAATCGTCCTCTGGAACCGTGGTAGGGTCTTAAAAAATACTTCAGCCTAGACCACATGCCTTCAATATTGTTTGTATGAACCCCCGTCACTGGATCGAGAAAATCACGTATATTCACGGAAGTATTACTTACCCAATCTTCCTTGATAAAACATCCTTTTTGTATTTTCGCTTTCTAATTACTGTCTCATCTATTTCCACTATCTTTCCAACTCCCCCAAACGATTCATGTACTTGTGATCGCGCAAAGAAAGTGCCAGTTCGAGCAGATTTTTTTCGAACGGGAAGTTTAGTCCTAACGTGGTTTGCATTTCTCAAACTTTTGCTGTGTTCTTACGCAACAAAAGTACCATTTCTGATCTAAACAATCTATTCTGAGCTACAAGTTCGGTAGATTACTTTTTTTTGAGTTTCACCCAATTTAATAGTTAACTGCGGTTTTGCCTCAGCTTACTATTCGGTTTATTTTCAGTTTTTCACGTAAAGGCTATTTCATTTTATCTCATCCGTTTTTATACATTTTTCCCGTTTTAGTGTGGTTTTTAGTGTATTTTTAACGGTCTTAAGCACAGTTTACGTAAATGCAGCCATGAAAAATTCATGTAAAAGACCTGGATGCCGTTTCGCTGTTACATCTGGCATGCAGTGTGACAACTGCAAAGGTTGGTTTCACGAAACGTGCACAGATCTTACGGCAACGGCTTACAAAAGACTCAGCAAATCGGACCGTAAGTGGGTGTGCGTCACGTGCAACACGGACGCTGTAGTGCTGCTGAGCAATATCATTGTTCTACTGACAGGTCTGCGGAACAAATTGTCAGTAAACTTGGAAACAGATAGCCATAAAATAGGTAGGCAAACGAGGGCGCGTAACGAAAATAAGAACAGGGATGTTGACAAGTCAACCATCGATGGAACGCGCATTAGCACTAATGATGACATGTTGAAACTCAGCACCATCATTACGTCGACAATAATTGATTCCCTCACTAAAATTGGATCTCCCAGTTCAGGGTCCTCAAACGCAACGGTGGTTCCTAAAAACTCGGCAGGTGACTGTAACCACGCCATCAGAGCTAATAAGGACCAGGTGTCACCGTCCAAGGTTGACATCCCGAGTGTTGTACGGACATCAACTGGTGCTTTGATCGCTCAGTCTACCCCCAAAAATGTCCGCCCGGTTATTAAAAAGCCTACGATTCAAAAACCTGCTTCGACCTCCAAACAACAACGTACTGAATCTGAACGCACTGGAAGAGCTGGGAAAACAACAACGGTCCGTGATGACTCCCTCATAATCATGAACCTCATAGACAATCCTGACCTTCCTCTCAGTTTGCAGGACAAAAATGACAGGATGCTTTGGGGTGAACTGAACAAAAAGCTCGAACTCCCTAGAATAGAGCCTTTGACGGTCACACGGCTCACTCGGGGAAAGGATTCTAAACACCAAAATCATCCGAGACTACTCCGTGTAACACTCAAGAATGCTACCGAAGTAGAGGATGTCCTGCTGGCCAGTCATCTACTGAAATCCGATGGGAACGTCAGAATACTGCCTGACATACCATATTCTGAGCGCAATCTCATCCGAAACGTCCCTAAAGATTCTCGAGAGAAGTTTTTCCGCGGAAGAAATATCATCGTGCAAGGTGTACCGGAAAACATGGACCCTACTCAAGCAAACTCTGACATTCGGGAATGGAAATTCATCAAACAGTCCTTGAGGCTTAAAAACATACTGTCTCAGCATGTGATGAGACTAGCCAAGAAGGATGGGGATCCTAGACCCCGACTAATGAGGATAACTTTTCCATCCTCCCATATGGCGGCTGCAACTCTGGAAGCATTTCGTGTCAACAGACGTCGGTTGCCAACTGGGATCCATATGCACCCGGATAGGCCATACGACGCCAGGATCAAGCACAAAGGCAAGCTGGAACTGACCATTCCACTTGTGGACTGTCTTCAAGACAAAAAAAACGTGTAAAGGACAGGGCCTACCAATTTGACAAAACTTATATAGGTGGGTTACCTGTCCACTCACGCAAGGCTCTCATAGATAAACAGGAAGAAGCTCACGCGTTTCAAATTGAAAGCATTAACTGCTTATACATGAACGCCGCGAGTCTACCAAATAAAATGGATGAACTAAGTGAACTCAGCAACGCTAATAAAGTTCATCTGATAGGAATATCTGAAACTTGGATATCTCCTCAGTATTCGGACCAGGAGCTAGCAATACCTGGGATGTCTCTGTTTCGCAATGACAGAAAAACAGGAATTGGGGGTGGAGTAGCCCTATACATAAGATCTGGCCTGGTGGTACATCAAATCCACAACCACGAGTTTGACAATCTTGAGGAATCCCTATGGTGCTCTATGAGATTGTCCACTACTTCGAGGTGCTTAGTCGGAGTCATATATAGGAAGCCCACTGCCGACATCGAGTATGACAGTCGCATGCTGGAGGGACTATCCCGCTCTACGCGTCTCGGCTTTACTCATATCCTGATTCTAGGGGACTTCAATCTTCCTAGAGTCAACTTCGCGGAACATACGTATACTGGAGGTGAAAATTCAACCGAAGCTCGGTTCTTCAACCTCATTGAGGACTTGGGACTACACGAAAATGTGAAGTCGCACACTCGTTGGAGAAACGGTCAGACACCGTCGCGCTTAGACTGTGTTTTTACAAATGAAGAATTTCTAGTCGACAACCTCTCAATTCTGGCTCCCCTGGGGAAGAGCGATCACGCCGTTATAGCCTTCAGTTTCGTCAGCAAAACAGAGCTAAGATATCCCGACAACAACAGGCGCTGGAACTTCAAACGGTTGAATACGTCAGCTCTACAGGATTATCTACAACAGGTGGATTGGGATGTTCACCCTCAACTTGATGTGGATGCTCATTGGGACTCCTTACTGCGCACGCTCTCATGTGCTACTAAGCAGTCAGTTCCTCAAACGGTCCCCAAAAGGCACAAGCAACCTACAATCATAAAAAAACGCACTCTTCGTTTGCTAAGCCGTAAAAGGCACTGTTGGGCAGAATACAAACGAACCAACAACAACGGCGAGTACAGGCAATACAAACATATAAGGAACATATGTACGAAGGCTATAAGAGAAGACAGGCTTCAGTACCAGTTAAAGCTTATGGACAAATTTATTTCCAATCCGAAAAGCTTATTCCGTTATGCAGCCTCTCTTCGTCAAGCCAAAACTGGAGTTTCTCAACTGCTAGGTCCTAACGGCCCGACAGATAATGACGGTGACGCCGCTAACCTTCTGGCTGAGCACTACTCCCGGACATTTCAGCCGACCCACATCAACTATACTGATGTCGGCTCTGTCTGCAACTGCACAGGACTTTCCGTAGTGAAACTGAGTGCTGACTTGGTGTACCGTAAACTACAACACCTAAGAACAGACACTTCTCCTGGTCCAGATATGGTCCACTCTGCTATACTGAGGGAAGCAGCTTTAATCCTAGCAACACCGCTTAGCGTGATGTTCTCACACTCGCTAAGTCGGGGCAAACTACCGGATATTTGGAAGCTGGCTCATATCACACCAATCTTCAAAGGAGGTCGACGCAGTGAACCTTCAAGTTACCGACCGGTGGCCCTTCTCTCTATACCTTCAAAGATCATGGAGTCCCTGGTATACGATGATATACATGACTATCTGCTGTCCTTAAATTTCTTCTCACCCCAACAGCATGGTTTCAGGAAGGGTTATTCCTGTATGACGAACCTGCTGACCGCGGTGGACAGATGGACAAGCATCGTTGATCGCAAGGGGAAGGTAGACATCATTTACCTTGATTTCTCTAAAGCTTTCGATAGGGTTAACCACACATGTCTTATTAACAAGCTCAAACAATTGGGAATCAAACCACCTTTAATTGACTGGCTTAGTTCATACCTCACAAGTCGACATTTTAAGGTCAGGGTAAACTTCAATTTCTCACGCGCTATGGAATGTTCTAGTGGGGTCCCCCAGGGCTCAGTACTAGGACCTCTCCTCTTCCTGATTTATATAAATGATCTTCCTCAACAGGTAACGTCAGACATACTGCTCTTTGCCGATGACGTGAAACTTTGGAGAGAGATACGCAACCAAGAGGACATACAGGCACTTCAGGAGGATCTGACTCGACTTCAAAGTTGGGCAGACAACAACGGACTTACCTTTAACACTTCAAAGTGTAAAGTAGTCCATCTGCGACACGTCGCAGATTACAGTTACAACTTAGGAAACTCCTCTCTAGTAGTATCCCGAGTCGAAAAAGATTTAGGAGTTCTGGTGCCCTACGACTTAAAGTCTTACGCCAACTGTGACAAAAATGCCTTTAGAGCAAACCTTGCACTGGTAACATTGAAGCGCATTTTTGGTCAGTTTGACGGGAGAACTTTTCACATAATCTTCAATAGTTTCATTCGTCCCCATTTAGAGTACGGGAACATAGTATTCCCTCCTACACTCCAAAAGGATAAGGACACTCTGGAGCGTATCCAACGGCGAGCCACGAAATCAGTTCGGGGATTCAAATTTAAACCTTACGATGAGCGCCTCCAATCACTCGACCTTTACCCATTAGAGTATAGGCGTCTTAGAGGTGACATTCTAATGGCTTACAGTATCCTTAACACACCTGGACACCCTCTTAAACACCTACTTAAGCTTAGTCCCAACACTAACCTAAGGGGTAACACCCAAAAACTGGAGATACAACATAGTAGAACGGACTGCAGACACAATTTCTACTCCTTAAGAGTTGTCAAATGCTGGAACTCGCTGCCAGCTGAGCTAGTCCAAGCAACTTCCCAGGAGTCCTTTAAGAGGCGACTTGATCTATTCTTAAGGACTAAGGATAGTATCCTACTATGATTTACCAATTCATTTTCTTTCTCTTTTATCGTTAATATACCTAGGTTCTTGCCTGGCGGTATTGGTGATCCACTGCTACTAGACACGGAAGCCTGTTAAGCGAAAGCTTCTTCTATTCCGTCCGCAACCATTTGAACCATTTGAACCATTTACAACGAAATACAATATCATCACGGTAGTCTGCACATCGTGCTGCAGTCATTTGATTGCCGCAGTCACAGACACAGGAACTTCTTAATAGTCCCGTCTGTTATAGTCGCTCAACAATCACCTTCTCTGAAATCTGCTGTAAAACGATCGAATGTGAGCATCTCGAATCGAACTTAGCGCCGTGACCTTGAACTTCCTCAAACGCCTCTGATTGGCTCGTCCATAAATTAGAGTCCTACCGTTACATGTGTAAGTCTAAGTTAAGCACTCAAATTTACTTTGTTATGTTAGCCCCAAATTATAAACAGAGGATTGTTACTAGTCTGAATTTCCTGAAAAGTCTTCGACAAAATTATGAAAATTCGGGAAATTATTGTCAAAACGATTACAGATTTTTTAAAAAAACGAGAAGCTATTAGTTACATATTGTGATACTAATATGAATGGCATAGCGATGCTCGGTTCAGAATACAAATCCGCTGAGTTATCAACGATTTCATGCGTATGAATAATACCTTACATTAATCTTATTTAAACAATTCATTTACCAACATTGAGTTTTGGGGTGGGATTTTCAGGCCATTCAATGCACTCAACATTAATCCCAATCTTATCGGTAATTTTATCAATAATGAAGTATTAGCGGGTCCATTCACACTGACTTCACCCTGTAAATATTAAAGGTTCAGTTGAAAAACTTCAGGTGCATATTTGGTAAGTTCGATTGCTGTAACACTATTAGAGCTCTAATAGTAATTTAAAGCTCTAGAGCTTTAAATTACGGGATAAGTATATAGGCCCTTAAAATTCTGATTACCAATGAAGATAAAAAATTAAATAAATGCGCAAACGAAGACGAGAAAAATTGCTTAAACACGTAATTGTACTTATGATTTACCTTAGGTTTTATGTTATATAAAGCAACACTGAAGTTAAACATCAGGTAATATAAACCGTATAAGGTTGTAAATAACAATGCTGGTTCATTAGACACACTTCTTCAGATCCACGGCTGTCAATACTCTTAAGTAAACTTATAGGCAAAGAATCTGAGAAAGTTAGTGAACACAGCCTTAATTAGAGTTTTAGAAAGGGAAAACTTCATGGACTCTGGAACCCGTGAGTTTGGTTGCAAAATACAGGATCTCCAGTTTACTAGAGAAAAACCTAGTTTACAATTGTGAAGCTACCAGACGCTTGTTAAACGAACAAGCCATCGTAAAGCTATGCATGAAATCAATTAAGTTAGAAGACACTCACTTCATCAGCAAAACCAACTGACTGACCATTCCCATAGCTTTTCATTATACTTTTCTGACGAACTACACTATTGTTGAATGTTTTACATAAGTCCTTATCGAATTGAAAAATAACCAAGACTGCTGAAGTATCTTAAGAAAAGTAGTGGAACATTAAGATGGGTTGTGTACCTTCTGTGTTTACAATGCTCATTGGATAACTATTGAAATTGCCACCCGGGGTTACCGTGACTATCTTTTCTGTTACAAGTTAAAACAAATCTATCCACTATTGGGTTTTTTCGACACCGTGATCAATTTTAAGTCCAAGGTATAAAATAATAAAATTTTTGTTTCGTTTGTCGAATATTAAGAACGTTTGTTGAACAATTTTTGTGTAAATTGTTACTTTTTTAGTGGCCTTGTATCTGACTTCATTTAGATCGAACAATGATTGCTGTCGAAATAAGATAGAGAAGACGAATGAACCAAATCTGTTTAGCCAAGTGTGAATCGATGTTTTAAGTCAAATAAAAATGAGTTACAGACATGTTATGTATAGGGTAAGTAATTAACACACATACGACCATATAATAACAGTCGTGGTTAATAAGTTAACAAGTGACATGGTAAAAATAAAGCTTGAGTGTGATAGATAAATTGGTCTGTCCAGAGGCTAGAGTAAACAATATGGGCTTGACATAATACCGGCCCCTATTCCCTTCAGGTTATACACTAATTAGTCAATTATATACATGAACGTTTTAGTAGTTTCGTATATTTATGGCTATCTGGAATTATCTATTCAGTCTATATGATCTCGGTGCGTGGGGGTAGCAGATTGTTCCGTCTTGATTGGATGGCTGTCACGTAAGAATTCCTACTCGTATTCAGTTGATTTTTTAAACATCTCATCGCAGTAACTACTGAGTATACAACTGACAGCTGTGTCAATTGAATTGGTACATGCATATTATGCGTTATTTTAGTTAAAACTCAGATGACCGCAATGGAAATACAACGTTTCAGAGGACGATGTCTATACCTGCATTCCATCTTGTTGTACTACATTCAAGCCTCTAAAACGTCTATGGAAAGTCAGATTCCACACAAATTTGCAGTCTACTGCTCTCCCTCAAGCAGCGGATGAGGGGCGCTTTATCCCGTCAGAATTATACCTAAGATGGTTGGTCGGAGTAGTGGACGTGGTGAGACGTGGTTAGAGCCTTCAGATAACAGAATACAGTGGTAAAGATTAATCACTTGTGTTATGCAACAGTGTGTAGTGGGTTCAAATGGTAAGTGGGAATTCAGAGCCAGAACAAAGAAGGATATTTATCAAAATGGAAAGTGAATCAATAGGGTTAAGTGTTAAGAAACATTAATAACTAAATCTTTTGCCGTTCAATTTTTTTAGTTTTAAAGCAATTAGTCCCTTTGATAAATTTCGATAGTGTAATAAGAAGACGGAGATTATCAGAACTATATGATATATTAGCGCAATACATTTCGAACAATCTGATCACACATATACTTGTTAAGAGCATTTATATATAAAAATTAAAAAAAAACAGTTTGTTCTTACCTTAAACCTACCCTGGTAATATTGGCTTATTATCCAGAGTTATTAGGTTTTGAATTGTGTTCAGATTATTATTATTACTCTTCTTCTTCTTATTATTATTATTATCCTAATCTCCTCTTACCCCATTTCTAGTCTAGTTGACCTTTTATTTTTTTGGTTTTGCTCCTCATATGTTGCCAGCAACAAGATCCTAATGTAAAAGTCTTAGTTAGTATGTGATAGATTGTCTTAGTAGAATATCTGATTCAGCATAAAATTAGAAACATGAGTTTGAACAATGAGTGTTGGAGAATAACCTCAGTCTCATTGATTGATTGCCTCGTTCTCAATCATAAAGAGTTTGGCACAAACAAAATGTTCCCACCCTCATCATCAATGCTTGCTAATCATTGATAGTATTTGGGTGAATTTGCGGTTCTCTTGACAACTCTTCGGGGTAGTGTTGAGCGCCCCTTAGAGGTCGAGTGTAGCTGGGCGGTATGCATAGGTCTAGTGAGCTACCTGCTTATTTCAAGTAAAAAATGTTAAAGCATCTGCATAAGACTTTAAAACACCGCCATACACAATACGACTGATTATTAATCGCGTCGTAGATAATATAGAGTTAATTTTGGTTATCTGGTCCCTGTTTGTGAGAAAAGACCTAACCCAATGTAATAGGGGATTAACAACTTCAAATGACCGTTGTCTATTGATTAGAAGGTTATGAGGTACCATGTCTAAAACTTCTTTGATATCGAAATATAGTACAACCACTAGTTTCTATTAGTCATATATGCGAGCAACCTTGTCAAAAACGCCTGCTAGAAATCTACTGCAGGGCCTTGTTCTAATAGAGCCATGCTGTGACGGGTTGTTCAGACTTTCTCTAAGTAGGTTGTAATGTAACTGATCTCGTATCACTTTTTACATTATATGTAACACTACTGGAGAGGTATTCATAGATTTGTAGTTCCGGGTCAGGTTTTTCCGTCTCGATCCGTGTTTGTGGACTCCATACGTTACCTACCATGTTTCGAGTTGTGTACCTGCCTCTCAGTAAAGCGTGAATGTTCCGAGTAGTATTGTTAGTATGTCCGGTCCTGCCACTTCGTAAAGAAATGGTTGGACTTCATTTGCACCAGTACTCGCATTCGGCTTGTATATTACTAAGATCAAAGTTAATGGCAATAAAATTATTTTTGTTGATGCACTTAATGTTAATACCTGGGGCATGAAATGTATTCCCATCATGAGAGAACCATCCACTTAGCAGTTCATATAATGCAGTTTGGTCATAATGCATCATACCATCGTACAGAAAGGAATGTTGTGATTTACACTTTTAAGCGTTACTCAAGGAGACGGCATAAGTTTTAGACTTTATATACAGTAGTGAGCACAGTACGTTCCTTTTCTTGTTTGATGATTTTGTACACCCTCAAGAACAGAGTATATTTGTTGCAGGCCACTGATGTCTTTCGACATGCAACACATCCTTTTTAGTTTTAGTAGCCTAAACCTACCTTTTGGTTGATATAAGGAGTTGTTGTTTTAGAGGTCATTTTGGAGGAAGTAGTGGTGTCTGGTGCGGATTTAATTGTGATATTGAATATTCCGGGTCAATCCGAAGACTTGTCATTGGGCAAAGAGTTCCATTAAATGGCCACTATATGAGAAAAGCGGAACCCCATTTTAAGTTTAGTAGATCGCGGTTTGTGGACATTCGTGCTATGATCTCGGAGATTATTAGTAATGGAGGGAGGACAAAGACAAATTATTAACTCCAAAATCGTAACCAAAGATATGAAATGCCAGTATAAAGTTATTTAGCGTCCTAAGATGAGAAAGGGGAAAAGATTAGGACGTTTTAAGCATCCATCGTGAGGGAGCTTAGAAAGACCCTTCACTAATTTAGTTCATGAATGCTGAACACGCTCAAGTGAGTTAGTATCCGTAATCAGTACTTTAAGTGTAGTCTTACATAGATGGGATACAAAATTCAAAACGGCCCCCGTCAAAACATTTAAACGCTCGGTGAAGTGACCGTAACGCACGGAACCCGTTGGCAGCTGCTGTGTCGAAATGTGTAGTTGTTTTCAAGTCGTGATTTATCATTACTCCTAGGTCTTTATACTACTGCATTCACGGAAGAAATGTACCATCAATAGTATACTTGTAACTATGTTTGTGCACGATGTGCATGAGAATGCCCATCCTGAAATCAACTTCTAAGCCATAAACTCGAAACCATCAAACTAATTCGTCTAGGTCATCTCGAAAATCAAAATAATCATCCTCACTTTTCATTGTCCTTCAGAGTTTGACATCATCCGCAAACAATAATGTTGACGACTTAGTCAGTAGCGATATCTCATTGACGTGGAAAGTAGAGAACCTTGTGGAACGCCATTTCGACCGGGTTCCACTCTGATAGTGTTCCAATAACACTCACCCTCTGTCTGTGGTCACATCGGAAGTTTCCTATTAATTCACGTACACTACCTTTTATTCCGAAGACCGAGAGCTTCTACATAAGGTCTTAGTGTGAAACCTTGTCAAACGCTTTGCCGAAGTCTATGGATATCGCATCGGCAGAAGAACCGTTATCTAGGTCTGATGTTCAATCTTCTGTCGCAATAAGTTGGCCAAGCACGGATACTTGTTTGGAAACCCGTGCTGTTGGGTGTTGACAGATTGTATAAATCTATGTGACTTAGTAACTTAGCCCGAATTACCTTCTCAAGTAAATAACTATGCTGGTTCGTTACATTTTGTATACCGTGTGTGCGAAACCCAAAGCACGACGTGATGACTATCTGCCAGTGAGGAAGGTACTGAATGTTGATGACATCGACACAGTGGTATGTGAGAACAAGATCCAGCATTGACGAATCACGTTTCAAGTCAGTGTGTGCCAATTTTGCGATATACTGTACAATGCCACTTCTGAATTGTGCTATGAAGATAACTAATGATGGAAGTTTAAAAAAACAGGATAGATTATATGTAGTTTAAAGATAGTAAGGACAAATAGCAAATCAGAGGATATGAAAGAGTATAAAATTTTAAAATTTTCAGGGTAAGAAAAATAAAACTTTGAGCAACTCACGAGACTTTATGACCAACTTTAAGTTTTGTATGTTCGGCCTTAGTAGATCAGTTTCCATAATATTAGTGAGTTATCTGTCTTCTTGCAATAGAAAACAAAAAGAGACATGGCACTTAGGAAGAGTAATGTATATTTAACCAGTAGAACGATTTGGGAACTGAAAGTAAGGGTTAGGAGCATAAGGCCATGATTAATAAACAATGAATAATAGGAAAGAGTAAACCATATGTTCTGTAATTTAGTTGTGTTTATATTAATAATAGTCGGGCTCGTTATATTCCTGTTACACCTAGATATTAGGCGGTCCATAATAAAGTGCTTCACTGGTGGGCGGAAGTCCAAGGAAAGATTGGAGCTCTCTAGAGTCTAGAAACAGGGTTATTAGCCTTTTGAATCTGGTAAAAGTGTCACAGTTACGGATAGGTACTGGCAACCTGTTCCACAATAAACAATATCGTACTGTAAAAAACTTACAACTCATTTGTTTTTAGTGTTCTACGGTAAGTAGTGTATATGCGTTGTTTCCTAGTCTATAGG